ATGCTGGGTGCATGTGCGTGTGTGCTCAAGATCCTGGGAGTAGAGGGGAGGAGAAGGGATTGTGGCATGGCCATCCCCCTTGGGGGGTGATTTCTCGCTTTCTGTCTCTCTCTGTCTTTCTGGTTAGCGCACGCGCCCTATAGCAAAAATCTCTCCAAAAAAAAAATCATCTTAATAAATAAATAAATACATAAAGTATAATACTGGTGATAATTTTTTTTTCTTTTGCCAAAAGGCGCATGTGCTTGCTAGAGAGAGATTGAGAGACAGAGAAAGCGCCTCCCAATGGGGCTTGGCTGCGTCACAGTCTCTTCTCTCTCTATGCTGTCTGGATTCGAGGCATGCACATACACACACCTGTGTGTTTCTCTTTGTTTGTTTGTTTTTTTGAGACAGGTTTTTGCTATAGGGTTCATGTACTCATCAGAGAGATCGAAAATGCGAAATCACCCCCCGGACGGTGATGGCCACGCCACAATCCCTTCTTCTCCATTCTCCCCTTGGGATCTTGGGCATGCATGCACATGTGCCTGCTGTGTTTAAGCTGCCTGGTCCAAGACTCGAACCACGGTTGACGACATGGGAGTCCAGTGACAAAACCACTACACCGTCTGCTGGCCCCCCACCTGGTGTATTTCTCACCCTGCTAGCGCCAGGTTTGATCTGGCCCCCCACCCGGTGTCTTTCTCAATCTGCTAGCGCCAGGGTTTGAACTGTGGTTGGCCACGCGGGATCCAGTTCCCTTAACTATTAGACCATAGAGCCAGCCTGCCAATTTTTTTCTGAATTTTCCTATAGAGCACGTGTGCTCGCCAGAGAGAGACAGAGAGAGAGGAAAAGCATCCCCGAGGGGAGAGGATGGCCATGCAATAACCCCTTCCCCATTCTTCTCTCTAGATTTTGGGCACGCACACACATACACATGTTCCCAGCATGTATTTCATGCTGCCAGGTCCTGGATTCGAACCAGGCAGTTGGCCCTATGGGATCCAGCTGCCTTAACCACCACACCACTGGCTGGCCCATGGCCCGGCCTCTTTATTTATTCTTTCGCGTGTTATTGATTTTGAGGAGTGCTTTCCTACATCCTGGGTTTTAGTTTCCTATTGGTTACGGGTGTTGTACCCGAGATGCTCTCCGGAGGACAGAAGCCGTCCCACCCGAGCAGACCTCCTTCTGGAGCCAGTGATGGAAAAGACGAGAAGGACACAAGTGAGACAGAGTGAATCTTTATTGCTGATCTCCTGGCCCGTGTCCCAGGCACTCAGGGGATCCTGGAGAGGCGCAGCAGCATACCCGAGTAGGCCTCCGGCGAGGGTTCCGGGAGGGTGTTATTGGCTGCCCTCAGGGGATCCTGGTGAGGCGCAGCAGCATACCCGAGAAGGCCTCTGGCGAGGGTTCCGGGAGGGTGTTATTGGCTGCCTTTTCCAGAATGTTCAAGATGGGCCCGTGGGCCTCCTGGCACAGGTCGGCACCCAGGAAAGCCTCCACTCGTCCACGCCATGCCGCCAGACGTGGCCGTCCCTCAAACAGGTCACAGCCGACAGCCACGGGCTGCAGAAACCAGAATGGGAAGATTGTGGGGAGACTGAGGCCCAGGGCTGGAGCCCCTGCACAGGTGACAGGGACTTTGACATGAGGCCCAGGGCAGCATGGTCAGCCTCAGGGCCTGCCAGTGGTCATGATGAGGCCCCGCATTCAGTGGGGAGGCAGGAGGTCAGGGCCCCAGCCCCACTTCAGCCAGAGGCCTGCTCTGTGGTCTGGACAAACCCCGGGCTTCCTCCAGTGACCACAAGGTTCTGCCCAACCCATGGGGTGGCACTAGGAGGGATGCCACCCACAGTTGCTGCCCCGCCGCCCGAGCTCACACCTGCATCAGCTCCTCCAGCGCCATGAGGTCGGCCAGGGTCACCTGCTGGCCGGCGAGGAAGGCCCCGTCCCTCAGGAACTTGTCCTCCAACTGCTGCAGCGCCAGGTCCATGAATGTCCTGTTGCGTTTCACCTTCTCCTCGGGCACCTGGGTCCCAAATAGTGGTGCCAGCACCTGACAGGGCAGAGGGTGGGTTCAGTCTGCGACCCCGCTGTCTCCCAGGTCCCTGGTGGTCAGCTGCTCCCGGATGGCCCGCCTCACCTGGGTCCACATGGGCACGCCGAAAGTGCCGCGGATGTAGTCAGCATGCCAGCCCAGGTACTCGTGGACACGGGCCCGGGCCTGCAGGTCGGGTGGGTACCAGTGGTCCGCTGTCTGGTACTTCCTGCTCAGGTAAATGAGGATGGCCACACTGGGGACGGGAGGGGGGTCAGTGGCTGTGAGGACAGCGACTTCAGGACCCCAACTGCCCCTCCGGCCTCGCCCATCCCAATTCCCAGCACTGCCTCCTGCCATCCCGTGATTGCCCCTCCAGAATCTTCTCCCTTCCTTTTTTTTTCTTCTTTTTTTCTTGGAAGATTTTGGTATAGGGCACGAGCACCCGCCGGCAGACGGTTTTGGGTAAGGGGAGGGAGCCGGCAGACAGAGAGGCAGAGAGAGAGAAATCACCTGTTGGGGGGATGGCCTATCCCTTCTCCTCCATTCTCCTCTTGAGATTTTGGGTGCACACACACACGCATCTGGCATGAGTTTTAAGCCTCCGGGCCCGGGACTTGAACCATAGCCGACTACGTGAAAGTCCAGTGCCTTAACCACTATGTCATCTGCTGGTCCCACGCCTCCCTTCTTTATTGTCTTAGGCACTGACTCTCAGCCAGCCCTCCTGCTCTGCTCTTCAAGAACCTCATCTGTGATATTGCTGCAGCCGACCCGTGAGAGACAGGCTCTTACGACCCCTTTTGGACCCAAGGGAACTAAAGTTCAGAATAGTTCAGGTGCTTGCCCGTGGCTGCACAGCTCCAAAAAGGCTCTTTTGGCCCCCTGGAACCCTGCCTGGGACCAATACACAGTGCGTGCTCAGCGGAGTCCCCGGCAGGTTCATGTGCATGGGTCAGAGGTCAGGAGGGGAGGCTTGTTCTTGGATCTTTTGTGACAAGTCTCCGA